GAATCATGCAATCGCACACGGTGCATGGCGGTGCATGCTTAATGTGCGCTCGGAACAGGCGCAGGCGCCGCTCTATTGTTTGCTCCTTACATTGTTAGACTTCCCGTAGGCAACCTGCGCAATGCGACCCGACTACTCCTGTTTTCTACATACCGAGAACAGCGAAAGTATTCTGAATTATCTACATTAATACAATTTGAAGAATTTTTTTTTAAATTTGAAATTATGTTTTTTTTATCCGACTACTGAAAAAATAACTTTGTTGTGCTTGGTGGAGTGAATAAGTATTTTCAACTGTGCCTGGTACATTACTCGCACATCCAGACTGGAGCCGTCAATACCAGCATCTTCCATGTGAGCGCATACAGCAGTCGAACTCCCCGCCCGCTTGCCGCATCCACAGTTGAGGCACGAACATCGCCATCTGTTGTGGTTTTGGCGCCCATTGTTTTTACAAATGGAATGCGGAACATTTATTTGTGGTTTTTCATTCAGATATTGTCGATACATGATCGCTACTGATGGTCGACTGCTCCGTGAACTTGTGTTTGTTATGTGCGGCACCGTTTCAGCAGTGGAAACCTACGGCAAAGCGAAACCTAAGTTATACTGCTCGTAATCACCTATAACTTTTTACTATAATTATTTTTGAACAAAATCAACGTGTTACTTAGTTACTAGATTTATTATTAATTAGCCATAGAAAAAACATCAACTTGTTTTTACTTAAACATTATTTTCGATTAACATAAGTACTATACTAAACCTTTACATAAAAAGGAAATAAAGGATATACATAAAAGATGCGCTAATTTCGTAGCACTTGCTACGAGCGTTCTTGAGAGAACCCGGTGACGGCGCTAAAAACGCAATTATGCAGTGAGAGCCAACGCAAACGTTAGAAAGAATTTTATGAATACCGACCGATCATTGTGCATTCATTTTCATAAATTATTTTTTTCACTAACAATTAGTGATAAATATTCTGATAATCATTATTTAGAAATAATTTGAAGCACTAGATTTTTTTCTGCTGTCCTGGGTTCGAATCCCGCCATTTACCAATGTGTTTTCCCATTTCCGATTTACATATGTACATTTATCCGACGTTCTTACGGTGAAGGAAAACATCGTGATGCAACCTGCACATATCTGAGAAGTAATTCAAAGATATGTGTGAAGTCAGACAACCCGCACTGGGCCAGCGTGGTTGACTATGGCCTTAACTTAGGGTTGGCTCCGAGCCCCTCGGTGGGGACATACAGTGAGCTGATGATGATGATGATGACTAGATTTTTTTTCTGCTACGTTTAAAGAGCGACAGGTTGTCGAGTGCTTAGTTATAGTTGTCCGGCGATGAAGAATCATGAATTCTATTGAGTTCTCTATAGAATTGAGAAGTGATGGCTCACGATCGTAAATGTATGATAAGTGCTATTTGTTTGTATCAGTTGGCAGCGGCCAGTGGTGGTTCTGCGCTGGACAATAGCGAATTGCTCGCCATTTGTGTCCGCGTACATTGCCCGCTTCCTTTCCCGTTAAGGTATCGTGCGCCGTATATGTCGCGCAATGGTGCCACTACGTTATGTCTTGTTGTTTGTTTGTTGGCGATTATCTCGCGCTATTGTGTCGTCGGTCGGGTAAATGTCTTCATCGTTATGTTGTTCGGGTGCGGCCACCTCGGGTAGATATGTCCCTATGTATTTTTATGAATAAGAATTAAAACATTGACATTGTAAAGTTGCTGACCCTCCCACATCCGGAATTCAAATACATAGAAACCTTGCAAGTGTCTCTGAAGCCATTGCACACCACAAGACATCTGCGACACCACAACCCTTAGGGAAGCCTTCCAAATGGAACCTTAACCATGTTCCATTGGGACTCTACAATTTTCTTCAAATAAATCCTCATAGTGATGATGAATTCAAGTTAACATTAAAATTTAAAGTTTTCATTCCCATGACGGAAACTAAACCAGCAGTTTACATTTAGCTAACGCGACCGTGTGGCCTAATGGATAAGGCGTCGGACTTCGGATCCGAAGATTGCAGGTTCGAGTCCTGTCACGGTCGATTTTTTAGTACATTTTTTGAAAAAGAAAAACAGTTTTTTGTCTTAACTTTCTAACTGATACTAGCAGTGTGAATCGCATGACACACTCTATTACGCGAATCCGGATTAGCTACAAAATTGCATTTTTTACACATTTTGGTCGTTGTCAATGGAACAAGTAAAAGTGACATTCTGACTAAAGATATCTTTGTTGTTATTTGCCTGCGGGCACTCATTTATATATTTCAAACAAGGCGAGGTCGCCGCACCTAGCGACAAGTGAATAGGATGCACCAAACTTGTCTTATCGCACGCTCTAATTGTCCGGCGATATGCACAGGACGAAAATACCATCAGGCGCGGTCAGCTCGCACCACCATCACTGCTGATAACGTAACATAGGTAGCGACATCCGCAGAGCTGTCGATACATCGCGGTCTCTCACTCTCACAGACAACCGACAACCAGCAATATTATCAACATATTTTACTACAAATGCTTCTAATAGGAGTTTCAGCACATCAACGACGCGGTTACTTCCTTCACATAGCACTAACAACGGTTATGTTAGCAGTACCGGACTGCAGATAAAGTTATCCTGGCTGCGGCCACGGCCGACAGGGAAAGGAATTTGTTTTTCCTTATTCGTCCTTTCATCTTTTTATACAAAATACTTCAAATAAAATGAATTTCATTAAAACAATCTCATAAAGTATTATTAATAAATACAAGGAGTATCTATGTATATATATATATCCTTTATACATCAGAATTTTAATCTCATAGTAAAAACTTCATGTTGTATCTTAACAGAAATAAATAAAAAAAACTATAACATCAATCAAAACATCAAACATCAGGCCACCAGCAATATCCATTAAAAGCAATAATCAATATCGAATTTCTCTACAAATACAATCCATATAATGCAGTGAGTAAGGTAATACCCGTGCGCACCAGCTGCCTTGTTGTTGTCGGGTAGTAGCGGCGTGCAGGCAGTGTGCCAGCAGTGAGCCAGCCGATGTCAGCTGGGACTGGTGGTGAGCTCCTGGCGCCATGAACATGCTCCATGTTCTGGTCGTGCTGGTGACGATCCTGGCCTTCGCTGTGCGTTGGCATTATGTCATGGCCGGTGTGAGTCACTGCCTTCTTTCTCTTTTTCATATTCGCAATTCGTAATAGTTCTTACTAATAAGATTCGATAGCGCAACTGGATGGCTCATTTCGATTGAAAAACACTAGCTTGCAAAGAATCTTGTCATACTTCCATATCCCTAGTCTTACTATTGAAATGTGTGTAAATTATGATCGTCAGATGAAAGCTCGAAGTGTGGAAGCAGTAGACAGCTCAAGGTGGTGCGTAGGGCGGCGGCTGCAGCCTGATGCGAGCGAAGGCCGGCATCCGCGGGCGCGCCCCTCAGCGTCGCTGCGTGCGCGCTCCGCCGCGTTTCGACCACCCTACAAGCGAGACCCCGACATCTTTCTGGACAACGAACCCATCGGCCAGCAGCCTCGCGTGCACGCTAACACACCCCATACATGATAACGTTACCTTTCCATCCGTATATCTAAACACAGCGCAGTCGTATTTTGTAAAATAAAAAGTGACGCTTCTCTATGGCTTTTATTTCTATGAATGGTTTATCCGCAAATGTTTAATTGTTGAATAACTGCTTTTATTTATTTCGATATGTGGTATACTTCTTAATTGTTGAAACACAATCTTACTGCTTTATTTTGGTTGATGGACCACAATCTGGATTGGCAGAGATTATAAACATACAAACTAACAAATGCTACACCTCACAATTCTGTATTCATTCTTTAATATGGTTTGTATTCGAACGAGGAAATGCGCCAGCGTAAAACATTCTTAAGACAGGCAATACATAACATTTTTATTAAATAATTATAAACATTCAACAAAGCATTAAGGTCATGACCGAGATGGGGAGCCATATTGCCGCCTCCTCGCAGCTGGCACCATCAAATATCGTATGTTCTTTTTGTAGTAGGGGCAGGCTGGCTCGTCGCATCCCAGCACCTCCGCCTCGTGTACGACGTGACCCCCGCGTTGCAGCAACTCATCCCCGAGGATCAGCCTCCTGGCGCAAGCCAACAAACACGGTCCACACAGAGCTACAGCACAAACCGCTGCTAAAAATTCCAGTAGTAGCATCACAGCTTCTTGCCACATCATTTTAGCTTTAGTGAGTGATATTGATTTCTGGACAAATACATTTTTAAAAATGTCTTTCGAGTCTGTGTTTAAATATTAAAATACACAACTTCTTTGCAATTTAAATACTTGTCTAA